TTTTGTATTTAAAATAAATATATAATTAGACGTTGAAGAAAGAAAGAAGAAAAAAGTACAAAAAGAGTACATAAAAGTACACAAAGCGCTTTTTATGTTATTCATCTTTTCTCTTTTTCCTCGCTCTTCAATGTCTAATTATACATATTCACCTTATTCACCTTAAATGCAGAATATATAATACAGATGCAAAAAAACCGACATACAAAAAACTGGACTGGAGAAAGCAAATTGCAAGAAACGTGAAAGGTTATTCCAACAATTTGATCCAGATGATAAACTTGTGTGCGTCAAAATTAATCCTGGAAGTACTGAGCAGTAATTATTATTTCTTGCATAAAAAATAGGATTCTAAAATTTTATTTTTTAATAATATTAATTTGATTAAAAATATTAGGCATCTATATTTATCTCATTTGTCTAAAATTATTTTATTTGCGTTGTTGTTTATTGTTATCCAGCATTATATATAAGTTTAAAGGATTTTTTAAACAAAGGATAATTTGCAGAAAAAATCACAAATTAATTTTTGGGTTAAAATTTAAAATAATGTGTTAATAAGGTGCCTAATATTTTTGGTAAAAATCATATGTCCGTTATTCTGATAAAATATTTGGTTTTTCATTGCTTTTTTTGTTTTTATAGTAATTTTTTTGCTCAGTTCTTATTTTTAGGCATTTTACAATTCACGATTAACTCAATATACAACGAATATAAAAAGAATAGATCTAAGGATAATATATACCTGGAAAGCAGGAGGACTTGTGTATGTTAAAACAAGGTGAAAATTACAAAAGTAAGCAAATTTACTAAGTATTGACCAATAAAATTATTAATATTCTAATAAAAATTTGCTCACTTTTGTAATTTTTACCTCATTTCAAGATATACAATCGACCCCCAGAATCTGAGTGTCAATTGTGCTTTTTATTTAGACTCAATTATGTATTCCACAATTATTCTTAAAGTGCAGTCATAATAGAAGGAATAAGAAATTTCAACTTCATCAAAAACTATATATTCTAGAATCTAGTGTATCCAATTTTTGATAGGTCAAACTCCTTATTCCTTCTATTGTGGCTGCACCTTTACTTTCTATTTGCTTTGATAATTCTACAATTAGACCGAGATGAGAAATAGACTGAATGTCGGAGTTAACTGTAAATTGTAGAACTGGATCTTAGTGACACAAGTCTATACAAAAATTATAAAAATGTGAACAAATTACTAGAACATTTATAACTTTACTTAACACATGAATTTTTACTTTTGTAATTTTCATCTCATTCCAAGATACACAATCGACCTCCTAACTGCGTCTTATGATCATCTGGCGATTATTTTTATTTACAGAAGACAAATGATCGTCAAGAACCAAAGATCTTTAAGGATTCTTGAATCTCAGTAATCCTAGCTGAATTTTTTGCATACTTTTCATCCTTCCTCTTTCCAATTGTATGTATATCAGTTTCATATTCATCGCAGAAAATAGAAGGATGCATATCATAGGATACGATGCGCGTGAAATAGAAGATCCCGCCTAAAAGACGTAGCCGGCTTTTTCCTTCTGCCTTTCCCACCGTCACCTCGATATTCCGAATCGTCGAAAAAATGTCTTTCTTTTTTTTTATAACTACTTGTGCGTAGCTGTGATGCTTCGACAATATCGAAGTAAACAGGAGGCAAAAAAGAACGTATATTGTAACATTCGCAACACGGTGAGGGAACGGAGGGAGCGGCAGATGAACGAAATGGCGGTCGAGTCCACTTTAAGAAAAGTACTGCCAATCGTCGCCTATCGCCAGAACGATCCTCGATCGCTCGCGTCGTCCATGACGCCGATCGTTCAATTTATTGATCCTACAGACATTCATAGGTCAAGGATATGAGAAGAGGCGCAATTATATCGGTTGCAAAGTAGGAAGAGGCAGAGATGGGGAAGAACAAAGAGACAAAATGTAAAAAATAAGATATTACCGTCCCAGCCGCCGACGTCTCCGTGGTAGCGTGGTAACCGACAGACGTGTCCATCGATAAATCGGGGGGTGAGGAAAAGGCAGAAACGAAGAAACTGAAATCGACGGTTAAACCGACGTACGAGCACTTCTCGTACACGTGAACGTTATCACTCGAACCTTAATCACTGAATTCGTAACACGATGGATCGTGACTCGTACGTTAAAAAAAAAAATTGACCGATACAATGCACCCGAGTGACGACGCCGATACTCTGCGAGCGTACGTTGTGCGAAACAGTGCTGCCAACGGTACGTTATGCGATACGCCTCGTTCTCGGACCTCGTACCAGTGATCCCAGATAATAGGCTCGCTTTTCGGCGCATGCGCCGGGCTGAGTTAGGGGATCCAGTAACATTCTAGTAATGCATAAATTCTTGAATATGATTGGTTGATATATTTAGGTCCAATGAGAAACTAAGGCCGGTATTCACAGTCAATTCTTATATTCAAGATCGTCTTAAGTCAGTCTTAAGATGTCACGAACCAATCAAAAGGCTGCATTCGCGTCTTAAGACATTACTTAAGACAGTCTTCAAATAAGAACTGACTATGGCCGGTATTCATAGTCAGTTCTTATATTCAAGACCGTCTTAAGTTCAGTCTTGAAGAGTTACGAACCAATCAGAGGGCCGCTTTAGCATCTTAAGACATTACTTAAGACAGTCTTTAAATAAGAACCGACTATGAATACCGGCCTATGAATACTGGTCTAGGACTCTACTACAAATAAAGCCCATGGCACATAGAAAAACATAAGGCCGTAAACGTAATCAGTAAGCGAATTGACCAATCACAGTTGAGAACCTAAGCAGCGGCTTCTTACGTTCTCAACTGTGATTGGTCAATTCGCTTACTAATTACGTTTACGGCCTTACGTTTTTCTATGTGCCATGGGCTTAAGCCATTAGGGCTGCCGCACACACCTTCCGTACCATAAGACATACCGTAAGAATTAGCCAATCACAGTCGAAAATTCTTTTGAACTCTTAATCCTGATTGGCTGATTCTTACGGTAAGTATTATGGTTACTGTTATGGAAGATGTGTGCGGCACCCCTTACTGCCATACTTAAGTTTTAAGTATTAAATCATAAATCCCATTCTACAATGGATAGTAGCAGTAAAATAATTAACTATCATTTGCTCGATCTATGCCTATTCCTTGATCCACTACTGCTACTGCCCATTGTAGAATGGGCTTAAGAAATTTACCAATCACAATCGAATGTGAGAAGAATAATCGACTGTGAGTGGTCAATTTCTTATTACTTAATACTTAAAACTTAGGTATAATGGCTTATTGTAGAAAGCCTGTAATGCCTGGTTTATGCTTCGGTCTTAGGCTGGAGTCACATTGAGCGGAAATTACAGCGGAACGGAACAGCGAAACCAATCAGAACTCTACAATCATTCCGCACTTTACTTTCTGCGATTGTGATTGGTCTCGCTGTTCCGTTCCGCTGTAGATTTCCGCTCAATGTGACTCCAGCCTTAAGGTCTTAATCCTAAAATTCAGCCAATAGAGTTCAAATTTCGGTTAGAACTGGCAGCTTTATTGGTTGAATTTTAGGATCTTGGGATTAACACCTGAAGCATAAACCAGGCATAAATAAACAAACAACAAGACAGCAATAGTTCGAAATGAAACAAAATTTAAACCATGGTTACATGAAGTACTAAATAATCCTAATTTAAAACTAATAAAGAGAAACAGGGCTACGAATCCTAATTTAGTTTTTTTGCTCGATCTATGTGATAAAGTATATATTAGCGATTTAGTTAAAAAATTAAAAATATACGAAAGCATTTACAAATTTTACGTAACTGCTGCCGAGGGAAAATTCGTATAAAAGATTACCAATTACACATCAATTTTTATCTAAATTGAAAATTTCCTACCAAATACGCAGCTTTGCTCAATGCCAACAGAGAAGCAATCATTTAATGATATTTTTCTTTTATCGTCAAAATCATTGGCGGTTTCGATTTCGACGAAGATAATTTAGAAAAATAATGGTCTGCGTTGTATTTATAGATTTGACTGTTATAGAAAAACAGAATTTGTCGAAATTAAATTTTGATGAAATGTGGAAGCAGATTATTTTACAATGTCAAACTAACAAAATATCCTAATTTAACATAATGTAATTAGATCACTTCCGAATTCGAACGCTGATTCGGAAAGAATTTTTTCATTTTTACCAGACATAAAAACAAAAAAAACGAAATAAACCTCTACTATAATACTATTTGCGGTCTGCTCGAAAGGCAAGACAGGAAAGCGTTATAAATATAAAAATTAATGCAGAGCATTTTTCTCATAAGTCATCAAATATATTATATGCTAAATGTCCTGTTAAACAGCAAAATAAACTTATATGCTATATGAGGCAGATTTAAATGATTATCGGTCCCTCTTCGTCTAGCGATAACATTTTCACGAATATGTATAATATGATTTAATATTTTCTATACGTAAATATTTGTTTCATAAAAAAGATTTATACAATACACGCTACTTATATATTAAGAAAATTATTCCTATATCATATTAAATATTTGCGTACATTTTTATGTTAATATACTACAAATGTTATACATACAAAAAATATATTTTATATACAAAAAATATAATTTTTGTAATAAATATTACATATATAATTATTTATTATTTATCTACAATAATAGCATTATTGCCTGTTTCCATCAATGCAGATTAACTTTAATCTCGGTTTAACTTACCGTTAATCTTTTTCTAATTTTTAGAATTAGAAAAAGATGAAAAACAAATTGAACCGAGATTAAAGTTAATCTGCATTGATGGAAATGGGCATATATCAGCGCGTGACAAATAAAACGGATACACTTTTGGCATCCAAAGACGTCCGAAGGTAGCCAAAAGGCCGAGCGCACACGTACATACATCGCTCCGCTTTTGTGTGCGTGGCGTTGCGCGGCTCTGAAAACACTGCTGTGGCCGAAGTCACAAAGTCATAAGATCACTGTGAACAGGTTCATCGTACAGTATTGTATTGTGTGGGCACTGTGACGTTAATTTGCGTTTGTTTTTCTGGAAAATGAAGAAATCGCCGTTGAACAATGCTGTACATGGTGGCCGGCCGTATGGCGTGAGGCACGCGCCGTACAATTGGAAGTCGCACGAGAACGCTTACGGTAGAGGTTATCAGCCCGCGGAGGGTAACAGCTACCAGCATTTCTCCGGAAGCAATACAGGATCGCAGCCCCACGATGACGATTTTATCCCTCTGAACATTAGCACGCCGCTGTCGCGGCACAAGTATAACTCTACTAATCGGTACACTCCTTCCGGTGGACGCGGCAGTCCAGGGCGTTCAGGCAATGGATGGCATAACAATTATAGGGGTAAGGGTAACTATCACGCCACGCCAAGATCGAACAATAGGAACCCTGCCTACAAGTATTCTCCTGATCAGTTTCAAAGGCAGAAAAGAAAGGTAAGATGTTCGGCAGAGAGATGTGTTGAAAAATAAAGACTTCTATGTTGCACAAGAGGATTTAATGATTGGTATTAAAATCTACAAGTTACTTTACTTTGTTTTACATCTTTTTGTTTTAGAGCTACAGAGGAGCGTACAAGCACATGAACATATCGGCGTATGTAGACTTAAATTCCTTTTTAGAAGATCCCTGGGAAAATCTAGTCAAAAAATTAAACAACTCGAAAGATATAAGTAAAAGTGAAGGACTTGAGAGTGAATCTCCGTCTAGTTCAAAACTGGTTTATAATAATTTGTTAGAAAAATCTGAAAGCCAACTTTCAAAGGATACGAGCTTGGATGATTCACAGTGCAGTCAAGATAGTAAAAATGAATGTTCTGTAAACACAACAAATACAAATCTTAGTCAAATATCAGAAATTAACAGTTTATTAGAGTCAGAAACTGGAGGTGTCTGCTCTAGCCAAGATTCTTTAACTGAAAGCATATGCAGTGTCAACGACAAGATTTGTGGAGCCATACAAGAAAATAGCATTCATTCGAATATGTCACTGACAGATATTGAACAGAAAGCTGTACAACAATAACGAAGAATCAGTTTGTTATAAAAGAAAATGCATTACACAGTGTATCAAAGTATATATATTTTGTACTCTTGTATGTAGATATTGTATATAAGCATGACATTATTGACTTAAATGTATTGACATTTTTTTATTTGTATAATTCCTGTTTTTTTAAAGTAGACATAATAATACAACTACACTATATGCGAGATACAGCATTATTATCATTTCTTAGATAACATTTTCACAATTTGGCTGTGAAAAATATTTAGAATTTGTATTAGATAATTATATATATATATATATATATATATGTGTGCAATTTTGTTGTACATATTAAGTCCATCAAGTGTGTAGGAAGTAAGTACACAATCAAAAAAAAAACATTACAATATTGAGTAGTAATTACAATCGACACAAATCATTTTTTTAATAAATATTTAAGAGGATAAAGTTATAAAAGCGTATATAAAAATTGAAATTTTATACAAATATGGATCTTTTTTATATTTTAGATTTATTTTTTAAGCTCTCTTCTCTCTCTCTCTTCTTTTTGTTTTATAAGTATTCAGGATCTTGAAATATCAGTTTTGACATTCATCAAGCCATAATTTGGATTAATATATTTTTAGTACACATATTTTTAACATGCATTACTTTTATATTTTTTATTGTTATTTAATGAATTTATTTATTATGAATATACATCTCAGAATTTTTATATATATAGAAATGTTCATAAAAATCTATATATAAAGCAGTTACTATGAAATATGAGAGCAAAAGAGAGAATACTCTTTATACTTTAATTTGGATAATATTTTTTTTATTTTAACAGATATGTAATTGTTATTATACATTTTTGTTATCGTTTTCTCTTTATATATACATATGTTTTTCATAAGTACATGGTACATAGTTGAAAAATAAATGTAACATGCAAATTATATCAAATACATAGATCATTAATGAAATATTTTAGTATAAATCTGTATTTCATTAATTTCGTGAAATATTTAGGTAAGGCATCTTCAGATTTACTTCAAAATTCAATCATGTATAACTAGCAAGATTTATTTTCATGTATTCGTAATATTTTTATGATAATTATTTACATTTAGATTAGAGAGAGTTGCAATGTATATTATTCGCTAAACAGTGTCCTTCGTCTGATTGCAATGAATAAAGCTTATACGTATCTTTTTATGTGATAACTAGTTTAAATATTAGAGTTATTACATATATTTCTATGATATATAAATATGAATCAAACAGCTTGCTTTTTGAAAAAAAAAAAAAAAGATAAATTGAACCAAAAAGAAAAATTTAAACTTTTTTCTTTTGTTGCATTTTGCTATTATAATAAAATTTATCCGTTAGGTTAATTTAGTACATATTTAGTATCTATATTTACACTATTTATATTAAGTATACTTAATATCTCTAACTTATATATATTTTATATTATAATTATTTTACACACAAAAATTCATAAAAATGTACATGTTAAGAAAATTTTATCAGTATAGTATTGTAATATAATATTGTATAATATAAAATAATCTTATGTGGCAACAGTATGTATATACATTCGATTGATAGAATATAAAAGTTTTCTTGAAAATTTATTTTTTTAATGAAAAAATATCGAGACTTTATAATCATATAATAGATATGTTTATATAATTATAAAAAAGAATATTATATATAATATATGTATATTTCCAAAGAATTAGTTTAAATTATTCCACAATTTCTTGCAAATTACATAATGAATATAAAAACGAAATTATTGGTATTAGTCAATTTGGAAAAGGAAATAGTTTCAAACTCACACAAAATAAGTAATTTAAATAGGTTTTTAATAGAACTTTAGTTCGCGCGAGATTGCTACAAATAAATTGTAGAATGATAGATTAGAAAAAAGCTGAAACAAATATCTCGATATTTTCTCTAAGAAAAATTTTCTTTGTATTTATCAGTATATAAAACGACATGATTACCGATGAAATAATATTCAATTTCTTCTTGCTAATTGTATGCAGTATGTGTGATTTTTTTACATAGCGTTCATTTAGATCTTAATTGAAATGTAGTCGAAATGTAACATATTTTAATTTTAATTACAATTAAATAATATATATAATTAAATAATACAAATGTCCTACTAATCAATTAAGAATATTAAAAAAATGTTTCAACTGAGAAACACATTGTTTATACGAATATTGCATCTATTCGTAGATTTGGCGAACACGGTGGTAACATTATAAGTGCATTAGCTTTTTGACATCTTATCACGTTCTGCTTTTGATTTTGTAAGCAGTAAGCTCTTAAAAACAATTCCATTTCCGTTCAACGTAATGTTGTTTAGAAAAATTTTGGACGCGAATGCAGCTCGTACAAAAAGAATAGTCCTTAAGTAAAAAAACGTGTCACACATTATAGAGAATATTACATCAATGATTAACATAAGACACTCAGAGAATAGTTTTTTTGCTATACGGTTAAAGAGAAATAAAGAATATTTTTGAAGAATTGAAGAAACCTTTCTCTGTTTGTGTGAGTGAAGGAAAATACTAAAATGTATCATTACGTTAATATGGATCTTTAAGATAGGCTTCAATAGATCTTTGTCGTTTGTACGTCCTATTATCACGAGTATATCCACTTTATTGTTCAAAGCATATCCCTGATTTTATTGATCATAAATATATCCAACCTTCGAGAACATGATTATTATATTAATTAAAAGCTGCAACGCGCGTAATTATTTGTAAATTAAATCATGTCTTATGGTGACTAGAAGAATTATAACAATATTATACTTACTTGTGAGCAGAAATTCCACCAGTTCATAATTGTTCTTTTTCAATAACGAGGACATAATTAGCATATCCAGTTGCAGTCTAATCGTCATAGATGCATTCTAGAAAATTGAAGTGTTTCTAAGTTTTATTAATTTGTTACTGATAGCAGCAGACTTACAGATGGAATTTTAATGACTGGAACTAAATTTATGTCATAACATGAAAATGTCAAGTTTCGCTGATCCGATACGAGTAAATTTATCGCAAATGAATTGGACGCGCTGCATCTCGACAGCCAGTGTTTCTACGAAAATTAATGAATTGTTTCGTGATGTTAGAACAAAGTGCTTTGAGAAGCATAGAAAACAATAACGGACTGCCTTGGTGTAAAATTTTTGAAAACTGAAAAAAATTGTTAAACAATTATTCTAAAAACGCGAATGAATACATCTAATTTTGTTGTAAAACTTTTATATAAAATATTTTTTTATCTCTCAAATAGTTTTTGAACAAGGTTGTACACGTAAGGGATGATTTCACCTCTTCAAACCGTTTTTTAGTCGCAATTGATGTTTTCTAAATTCATCTCTTTATGTAAGCTACAAGTTCATTAAAATCGAAATTTGACTCCTCGAGAGGATTCCTTGTAAGTTTTTTAATTTAATTTATACTTAATTGACGACTAATTAAGTCGGTAGAATTGCTTTCTGCATAATTTTTGATTACACAATTAGCCTGTCATGATTTCTAATATTTCTTTCCACGTTTCTCTCGCTCTTTCTCAGGCAATACAGAAAAATGAATAAATTCAAATATTCACGAAATGTGCGAGTAATCATTCGTTAATCAGAGTTTGGTCAGCCTTACCGTAGAATGTGTTTTCAATACTCTTGTTACTCCTTTCCCGTCGTTGACTAATATCGCCTATCTATGTTTAGTAAAAATGTTACAAAACCGCATATATACAGAGGAATATATTTTATTTGTCAATATCCTGCTATAAGCGTCTTTTATCTGTACGTTTTTTTCTTTCGCGAAATGGAATTTGATTACTGTAAGTATCATATATAATGCCTTTTTCATTGACAATATAAGTTGGTTTCTTCGTTTTTTATAAATATTTTCTATTAATATATTTTTATTCTGTTGATTATTTGCGTATAAGTAGTTCTGCGAAAATTCGCTTTATTGTTCCGAGTATAGAAGGCATTTTACCGGTTTTTGTGAGGGGAGATTTTAAAAATACAATTTTATCGATTAAATGAATACATTAGTTTCTTTCTTAAATTTAATATTCATATGATTAGGTCCTTAGAAATATTTTTATCGATAATTTCTTCAATTGCCTTATGTAATATCATTTACCTGACTATTACATAGTCATGGAAATCGAAATTTCGCTAATTGAGATAATAATCTGTAAAAAAATAACTATAGATATCTATAGAGATACTTTTATTTTCTTTTCATCACATTTAAAAAATTTGATGGAAGCTAGATTTCCTATAAAGCTGCTTACACTGCGTTTTAGCAAATGAGCTTGATTGACAATTAATAATTCAATACTGTCTTACCTTACTATATAAGCCATTAGAGTAAAAAAAGACAATAAAAAGTACAAAAGTACGGACTCTCCAAATTAAAACCAATAAAAGAATCGAATTTTTTTTAATTGCGTATTGTTATTGCCATTATTGATTTCAATTAAAGTAAAATTATTAAAATACTTTTAAGTGTATATATTATACGATTCGAATCAATTATTCAAAATTAATATAGTCAAAGATACACATTTGTAAGACATATGTGTATATACGTATATGGCTTTATAATATGTGTGCGAAGAAATATTTTGTTTTTAATTTTATTAAGATCTACATATTTTTAAACGTTTGAGACACATATATTTTGTAAGATAAATATACGTATAGTTGAAATGATGCGTTCAGAGCCGCGTTTTAGAGTCTCTTTCAATTACTTCTTTATAAATCTCGTGGCTGTATAACTTTCATTGTTCTCGTCTCCTATATTTGATCTTGATCATCTCGTTCGCTAGCTGACTACTTTACTTTGTCCATTCGATAAAGTTATTAAAACTTTAAAAGCCGTATATTTATATTTATTTTCTTTTAAAAAAATTTCTAATGTAAGATTGTAATTCGCAGCACTACCGAAGCAGTTTCAGAGGCCCTATTCTGTAACTCATTAAGGCAGTTAACGACATCGTTGCGCAGATATCTTATGGTATAAAAAGCTGCGCAACGATGTCGTTAACTGCTTAACGAGTTACAGAATAGGGCCTCAGCGACGTTAAGAAATATATCTATACTACGATCTATATTATTTCAGGAATCATATTTTACACTTCTACGCAGGGAATGGAAAGTTACTTTTTAAAAATAACTAGTTACAGTTACTCGTTACCGAGTAAAAAATGTAACTAGTTACAGTTACAGTTATCGCTTTTTAAAAGTAACTCGTTACAGTTACCGTTACTTGAAAAATAACTTTTCGTTACTTTTCCGTTACTTTTTTAAAATCAATTTAAAAATGTATTTTTGCATTTTTTTTTTATATGTAATACTGACAAATATATAGTTTTATTAAAAAAAAAAAAAAAGTACACGCAAGCAATTTATTTCTATATACATATATATATATACATTATTTCTCTTCTAAGCATCTAAATCGTTGCCTTGAGATAGTCAAACTTTAATACAATTGAAATATTATAATATGTTATACTATGAAATTATTTTATTGAATTATAATTATATAATTCAATAAAATATAATTTATAATAATATAATATAATTTAATAATATATAATTTATTAAAATAACCCAAATATATATACAGATATTTGTCCTGTGGATTGATCAGAATATCTTGGAAATTTTTTAGCCGAGATATATCGCTGATACGAATGCCGCGTCTATCTTTGAATTGTGAACTGTGCGCCGCGGTAACATCAGAAGCGCATTAGCTTTTTGAAATTCATTTATCATGCTTCGATGTTTTTTTTTTGAACAACAAGCCCTTGAAAATATTTCCTTGTCTGACCAGCGTAAGGTTGTCCATGAAAATTTCGGACGATGGTGCAGCTCATGCGTTGTCTTTACCTGCAATAACGATAACGATATACCTAATGTATCAGTAGGTCTATTTTCTTTTTATTCCTACACTGTAGTGTGCACTAGCTCAGATAGTGCAGGAATAAAACGTGATGAGTATATCTTTTTCCGTAAGTGAGATGCTAGGAGGAGACATCTTACGCAAGTTGGAATGATATTTTTGGAATCAAAAGCCATAATATCGAATTGCATCGCGTCCAGAAACGGTAGAAGAAGTATATGCGTAACAATGGGAATTGTTGCTGGGTTCGCTGACATGCATAGAAAAAACTTCGTTCTGTCGTTGAACGTGCACGTTGCGAATGTTGTTGATTTTCCTGGTTTCATCTCCACGCGACCTAAAGGCAAAAACATCAGTGCTCGAGCAAAATATGTTATATCGCGCGCAGCGTAAAAACACCGAATTAAAGTAAAAAGTGAACTATATACCGAAATGTATAACAGCATTAAAATATTCTTTTAAGATAGGCTTTAATAAATCATTGTCATTTGCATGTCCTATTATCACGAGAATGTCTACTTTGTCCAAAGCGTCTACAATATTTTTGATAATGGCTTTTGAGCTGCGAGAATGTGATCATTAAATTAATTAAGAACTATTAATTATTCATAAGTCAAATTGTGTCTTATGCCTAACTTCTAAACAGAATCATAAGGCATGGAACATATTCTCGTAAGACTTTTGTATGAACTTTTAAATTCTTATACCTTTATACATTTCAAGAAGAACAAAATCAAAATAATGTCAATTTAACGACATATTGACCGAATTTATATCATTTTTTTTATCATGATAAAAATCTCAATCTCTCTTTCACATACGACTTAAAAATGACTACAGTCTCTTGTGACTCTTTTTAATGTTGTATGACTTTCATTTTTTATATGAGAACCATAATTGTGTGTCACACTACGTATCTATGTATAATTGGAGATTAATCTTTACAGACAGGTTCTTACTAGCCATAAAATTTACAAAAAAATCATATATATTTACTGCAATCGTATGTCTATTATATGATACGTACGTATAAAATTATAATACTAGGCACAAGTTAATTCTTCCAAGTTTTACGAGAAACAAGTTACGAAGCTTACGATTCTGCTTATAATTGATCCCATTATAAATGCTACAGATGAGGAATCGTAATAAATTTTGAATGCACTCACTCAAAAGCTGAAATTCCGAAGTCTATGGAATTGTAACCGTTTACTTTCAATAACGAAGTTAGAATCAGACTATTGCAATCGTAGGTGCGTTTTAAAGTTAAAGTGTATCCAGGTTCTTCCAATTTATTTCCGATGGACAGCAAACCTACAGATGGAAGTTTTATGACGGAAACTGAATCGAAGCCACATAATTTCAAAATGCTCAATTCCGCTGTTCTGATGCGACTGCATACCTGTAAAATGATCTCGTTGCGCTTTATCTCGCAACCGACGACTCTTAGAAAATAAATTAATAAATTATTTTGTGTTAATACAGAACAAGGCGTGCTCTGAAAAGCATAGAAAATAATAACGGATTTCCTTTACATTACATATACCTAATATTTTCGTTCTTTTCCGGAGCTACTAAAACTTCAATTTCGTATTCCTTGCCGTGGATATTAAAATAATCGTCATTATCGCTGCTGTCTTCTAATATCTTTGTATTTTTTAGCATTACAACCGCCGTTGCTCCTGTAATCGTGGATAAAAATAATATAAGTAATCCTTCATTATAAGCAAAAAAAATATAATTTCTTGTAATTATTTTTACCATTGGGTATGGGATCGCCACTTCTTACTCTCACACAAGTACCAGGTACAATTTCTGCAAACTGGAAAAGAAACGATGTTTTATAAAAGTCTAGTTTCAACGATTGAACTCCGATTGATGCCTAATGCTCATTTCTATAAATATAATTATGTAATTTTGTGACGTGATTTTTTTTCAATAGAGTAAATTGAACCGAAATTACAGTTAATCCATAATACATTAATAGAAACGACATAATTCAATTGATAGAATTGTTTTCTGCAAAATTTTGTATTGCATAATACACATTGACAATAATTTTTAATATTCTTTTTTACGCATTATACAATATAGAAAATATAGTATTATTTATACAGTAATATTCATACTATAGTGAAACCGGTTGAGCCATTACTCGTTAATCAGAATTCGAATCCTTACTGTGGGATTATATGCTTTCAGTACTCTTCGTTTATTCTTCCCGTCGCTGACCAACACCGCGTATCCGCGTTTTGTCGAAGTGTTATAAGACGGCACATCTACAGAGGATACTATAGAATTAGCTATTACCCTGCCGTAAGCTTCATTCGTCTTCATTTCTTCGATTTCTATACATTCGTCATACTCATTGACTAATAATGTTTTTTGCATAATATCTAATGCTTCTTTTATCGACTTCATAACTGTTTGCTCTTGTTTCTCATAGATTTTTTTCGATATATTTCCTACCAATATATTTTTCTATAAAGAGAGTCAATTATTATTGGCGTATACGCAGCCTCGTTGCAATTTACCTTATTTTCCTTATTTTACCGTTTCATTTTTGATGGTACAATACAATGACACTTCAGAATTATCAGAATTATCATCGATTTTGACATTGTTCATATTAAACGTCTTATTAAAATTTTCATCATTCATACAAATTTCTTTACTTCGATTATTCATTAGATATATTATTTCCAGTATCAAGGTAGTATCTGTCATCAAATTCGTTATCGCACTTGTATATAAAGGGCCACACATATTAATGATAAGTTTCTTGTTTCGTATTCCACATATGGGTCTGAGAACATGTTTATACAAACTGTAATCTCGTAAATCGCAGGATAGAAATAGAATCAAAATTTTACCGATCATATAACTGATGCTTTAATTTCTTTGTTAGATTTGATAATGATGCCTTTAGAGCATCAGAGATATTGTTATTATTGTTATTAGTGACTTCTTTAATTGCCTCGTATGCAACATTACACAATGTCCAAAAAACCGTACCATCAATTAAGATAATAAGATTATTTTCTTTGTTATTACTCAAGAAAATTAATTGTTTCTAAATGTAACATAAATTATAGTATAAACATTTGCATATGCGAGGAACATATATTTAAAGAACTATTATTAGCTGTTACCTTTATTTCCTCTTTCTTATGTTTCTTCGAAAATTTGATGGAAGTCATTTTTCCTTCTACATACTTAATAATCTGTTTTAATTCATTGATTTGATTGTTTAATAGTTCATTATTGTCTTCGTGTCCAACTATATAAATAAATAAAATAAAATTATTTAAATATTTTTAAGAATTATGTATACAATTTAATATATTACACAAAGTTACTAATAATCGAAGATACGTGTACGTAAGACGTATATACGTATTGTGTGTGAAATTATCTTTAAACATGTGTGTGATAAAATATTTTATTTTGAATTTTATTAAGAACTATTTTTAAACGTATGATATATTTATTTTGTAAGATAAATATACATACTAGTCAGAATAACAACACTTAGAGCCATTTTAGTTTCTTTTAATTATATTAACCTCGTGACTGCAAAACTTTTAATATTCTTTATATCTTCTACATTTACTTTTGATCACTTTTGTTTGTCAGCTGATTTTACTTTATCTGTTCGATAAAGTAAACAGCTGTGTAACAGCTGTACAAAAATATTTATATTTCTTTCTTTTTTCAAATTTCTGCTATTGTATGAAGCTGTGACCCATGTATTGATTTTGTTTTGAACGCGTATCGTGTGGCATTTTACTCATTATATCTTTTCGCTTATCACATTAATCAAAACAGATTTAGAGATAAAATATGATTTGTTGATACATTTACTGCTCTGTTGTTGTTTAAATTATTTTACATACTTTAAAAAATAAAATAATTTAGATATTATTTACTCTTTAATTTGATACAAGCAAAACGAACATAACAAATAAAATAAATAGATATAAATTATTAAATATTTTATGTAATTTCTTTTTGTTTTATATGTAAATATATGCATACAAAGGCTACCAAATAGGACCTATTTGCAGTTCTTGTTCTCTATAAAGCGTAAATAAAGTCCGATATAAAACTAATGGTGCCGTTCGAAATATCATTTAATTTCCTTTATTTTTGCTTCAGACCATTTTGACGAATCTCTTACTTGCGTTGAACTATAATAGAAAATGTAAAAATGCATTTTCCGGTTAGATTTAGAACTCATGGTTCCAAATCGGACATCTCCTATTTTTATGAACTTTTAGACAGAATTTTAAAATATTTCAATTAATTTTTGTTAGTATTGAATAAAAAAGAGCAATTTAAGACTCAAAGATAAAAATACAGTTTATATTATTAGAATTAAAATCAATAAAAAATTCTATTAAGTCTGAGTCTGATAATACATGCATGATATTTTATTGATTTAGTGTTCTTTAGATTTGGTCGGTCGATCACCAGTACTACAACCAAGTTGTGGCAAACAACTTTTTTCTTTGATGAATTAGCTGGTTTACTCATCTTTTTAGTGCTTCTTGTATAGGTCCGATTTGGACACAGGTTCTTTCGAAATATTGAAATAAATTTTACAATAAACCGCAAAAGTAATCACAAAACACTCTTGATATTTTTTAATTCTACACTCTTTAAATATCGTTCAAATTTTTAACATCTTTAAAATTAATGATTTACAAGGATTTTCTTTTTTAAAAAATTTTCGCATGATAGCCGAAAACACATATTTGCGTCTATTCTATGAACGTCATGACAGAGTACTGCCAAATTGCTGTCACATGTTCGATATCTTATAGGATTTTACATTATAAATAGCAAATCTACTTAACCGTATTTATTTAAATTAAAAAGATCTGATTTAGAATGCGGTCCGATTTAGGACTTTCGCCTGTACATTTTTTTTAATTAATTCAGGTTTCTCCAAGAACATCCCTTTCCCTAATATACGAGTAGTATAAACATATCGTTAATTATTTGATTCTTTCCTTTAAAACTATAAATATCTATATTTGAAAACAATCGAATAGTATCGATTAAAAAAAGTGTTTATAATTTTAAGACATCAAAATGTTTTATTCTTGTCTCCGGTTTTTAAAGCTATATGTGTTTTAAATTTCAGCACAAAGTGTTTCGTCCATTGAAATAAAAGATTAAACTTAAAACATGTTAAATGTTTGGAAAACTCACAAAGGCAAAAATAAAACAATTCTTTTTACGATGCGGTTTCTTCGTATCTGTGATAGTTAGTGAGCGAGTTAGATCGAGTAGAAATAAAACTAAATTGAAGTTACATGTGTATGTCGTGTAAACAAGTTTCACATTCTGACATGTGTAATTTATGTTAGGTTTGTATATTTACAACATATTAAAATATGAAAAAATTTATTATTAATACATTATGTTTTGCATCAAATTATTACATGATCATAAAAATGTACATATAATTAAAAAATCTTTTGTCAATAGCTGAATCTTTTTAAGTAAAATATCAAAGTAATAAGATAATACATGCAATAACATTATTACGATATATAAATAATAAATAATATTATGTAATGTAACATTATATATAATGTTACATTATATAATGATACATTATATAATATTATATAGGGTGCATTATATATTATATTGCAATAATAATATTATTATATAATATTAATTTCAAAGAACTTGAATTTTTTATAAGTTATACCATACTATTTTGCAAATTATGTAGTGGATATAAACACGTGCAAAAAATTTATAAATCGTCTTTCTCAAATTGATGAGAAAATTAATTTGAACAAAAGGAATAACTTCAAATTCAATAAAATTTATAATAAATTGATCTTGATTAAGCCTTCAATTCGCGAAACAACTCAATGGCACAGTTTGAAAAGAAACAAAAACTGAGATCCTTCGATATTTTTCATTAGAAAAATTTATTGTCTATATCTATAAAATAATATCTTTACTTTTGTTTTTGTCGTGCGCAACAAGTCGTGTATGCGTGTGTTTTTTTACAATGAAAAGAGTTTGGTAATAATTACCAAATGTTTAGTGAAATAATGGCAATTAAATATCAAATGTATACGAATGTCATGTTGATCAATCAGGATAATATGGAGATACTTCAACAATGATCATTTTCTGCCGAAAAACATTGCAGATACGAATGCCGGGCATTCTAACTTCGGCATCTCCAACGTCCGTTTCGGTAGCATTAGAAGCGCATTAGCCTTTTGATAGTCCATTATATTCTGATCCTGATTTGTTAAACAACTAGCCCTTGAAAATGTTTCCTTTTCGTTCCATTGCACGGTCGCCCATAAAAATTTTGGACGCAAATACAACTCGAGACTGTTTATCTGTAAAGTTACGACAGCAACTATCAATGAACACATGCGGAATGAGAGAAGATGAGTCTTTATAATTCATCCAGACATATTTGCAGAAACGTATGCATATAAAAAATTATTTAATCATATTTTACGTGCATTTTTATAATAGAAACACGATTGGATAATTTCCTTTATGCATACTTTTATGTGTCTGTGTAAATTTTTCAGAATAGATCCTTACGCGAGTTAGCATAGTGAAAGGCTTGGAACAGTTGTTGTGCATCAAGTTTAGAAGTGGCAGAAGCACTACGTAAGCGACAGTGGGAACGGTTGCTGGATTTGTCGACATGCACAGTAAAAACTTCTGCTTATTATTAACCATGCACGTTGCGAACATCGTTGATTTTCCTGGTTTCATGTCCAAGCAATCTAAAAAAGAAAAAGCATTGTTTGAGCAAAGAGACGTGTCACACTGTAACGTATTAAAATAAAAAGAAACGATATACCGAAATGTATATCAGCCTTAAAATATGCTAAGATTTCTTTTAATGTATCTTTATCTTTCACAAGACCCATTATCACGAGTACGTCGACTTCATTTAAAGCATTTTTCATTTCTTTTATTATGACATCGAACCTGCGAGAAAGTGATCGTTACAAAAATTAAGAGATGACGACGTTAATTATTTGTAAACCAAATCGTGTCTTACAGCGGATAGAAGAAATGTAATAGATTTTAATTGCACTCACTGATGATTCAAAATTCCAAAATCCGTATAATTGAAACCGTTCTCTTTCAAAAAAGAGGTTAAAAATATCGTGTTGCTATCATAGATGTATCCTAAATTCAAAATGTTTCTAGAGAGGGGATTTTCAATCTTGTTTCTGACAGAGAGTACACCTACACAAATTGTAATAACTCGAATTGTATTAATGCCACATAATGTCAAAATACTCAGTTCCGACCGTCCGATACGTGTAGATTGTTTCAATATGTGTCGGTTGCCTTTTATCAAATAGCCAGCGTCTCTTTAAAAATAAACAAATTGTAATTAGAATATAATAAACAAATTGTTTTGTAATACTAAAACAAAACGTGATTTGTGAGGCGTGTATTAAATAATATTGTAATATCTTCATATACCTAATATTATCATTTATTTTTAGCTCGACCAAGATCTCAATTTTGTACTCCTTGTCATTGGTGTTAAAATAATCGTAATCATTATCATTGCCCTCGTCCAATATCTTTACATTCTTTGGTGTTACAACCGTATTAGCTCCTGCAATCGCACATAAAAGCAGTAATTCTTCACTATAAGCAAAAAAAGTTTAATTTAGAGCTGTAATTATTTTTACCTTTGGGTATGGGATCGCCACTTCTTACTCGTATGCAAGTATCTGGTGTGATTGAAACCTCTGCAAACTAAAGAGGAAATGGTATCTTCTAAAGAGAGCTTTAACGATTATAAAATCCTGCTTTAACAATTATAAAATTTATGTCTATTAAATCGGTGACTAATCCAACTAACAGAATTGCTTTCTAGAAAATTTCTGTTCATATAACAGTTTGCTTCTCATGTAATGTCTAATTTGCTTTTACATTTCAAACAACATAGAAAAATTAATAATGCCACCCACATGTTAACGAAATGATGTGAGCCGTAATTTGTTCATTAAAATTTAACGATCTTACCATGGGATGTGCTTTTAACACTGTTCTGACTTTCCCGTCGCTGGCCAACATCGCATATCCATGTTTAGCGGAAGTTCTATGAGACGGCACGTCTGCCTCAAGAAATACATCCTTAGCTAATATTCTGTTATAAGCGTCAGTTGTCTTCACAGTTTGCATGTTTGCTTTATCTTTATAGTTTTCAGTTATTGTACTTATTATATTTATTGCTTCTTCTACCGATTTTGTAACATTTTTATTTGATTCCGTACAAAATGTTTCCGATTCCGTTAACATTTTTCTCTATAATGAGAAATATAATTACAATCTGTGTATATGCAGCCTTCAAGAGAATTTAGTATTTTATCTCCTTGGAAGTAGAAAATGCTTTACCATTTTTTTATTACTTCTAGGAAGCGAAGACTTGTCAGATTCACTGTTGTTACTATAATACGCCTCAGAACTATCAGAATCACTACTTATTATAATTTCTCTTATTACGTCTATCGATTCGAGTATCAATTCACAATGTTTCTTAAAATTTGACGCTATTTTTTCATAGGAGTCATACGTAGTAATGATAAGTCTGTCTTGCCGCATTCCACATAATAATCTAAAAACATATACATGTGTGTATTATATAGTATATAGTTAATACTCTATAAAAACTATAATCTCGAAAAAGATAAATAGAAACAGAATGTTACTGATCAAATGACTTGTGCAATTCACTTGTTAGTAGTGATACCGTTTCCAATATCCGATGATCAATATCGGTATTGATAATTTCATTAGTTATATCGATCAACATCGAGAAAACAGCATTGTCGCCAATGAGGATAATAATATCCTTTTCTTTGCTTCGTTTCATTAATTCATTCTATATATAACATAAATTATATAAGTCATACATTAATCGTACATGTATAGAAATTTGCATGCGCGTATGCGCGAAAGCATATGCAAGAAAGGTATTTAAAAACCTACAATATTTATAGAAGTTACCTTTATTTTCTCTTTATCACAATTTACAACGCTGAATTGGAAATCTATAGCTTCGATATCAATTTGTAGTTTAATAACCATATCTTGTAATGACTTAACATCTCCTATGTGATTTGCTACTGTATAGTATAATTAAACTTTAATGAAATTATTAAAAAAATTTTAAGAAGTATGGTGTAAATCAATATAAAGTTATTAATAATTAAAGAAACGCGCGTGTATATTTGAATCATTTTTAATTTCTATATATACGTTTAATACCTATATGTATGTATATTTATTATATAATATAAAATATTTTATTTTTATTAATATTTACTTTTAAATGTATGTTATGTATCGTGCTAAATGAATATACGTACCACCAAGAATCGCGGCTGTTGCACAGGTCATTCCAGCTTTATTCACCATTATTTTTTATTAAATTTCGTGAATGCGTACCTTTTATTATTCTCGTTTTCTATGTTTGATGTTGACCACCTCGTTCGCTAACTGACTATAGTTTGTCTTCGATAAAGCGACCAAATTTCAAAAGTACGAATGTGTTTATATTTCTCTCTTTTCAAAATATTTCTTAAAACTGCGGCCTTATTCTTTTTATTTTAAATACGTGTTGTGTAGTAGATCTTTTTGTTCACGACTTTAACGGCTAATATTGAGAACAAATTTTGAGAGTAAAATATTCTATGTTTTTTCAGTAAGAAAAGCAGTGAGTTTATTACATTTCATTATATCGATAGAATTGCAACAGAAATTAAACAATGTTTGCAAAATGACAGATTATAAGTGACAAAAAATAAACCTAGATTTGACGGCACATCTGATGTTTCGTAATCATCGAAATTATTTGATACGTGAAAAAAAATGAAATGCTCAAACCATCTCTTACTTAACTAGATATAAGTGAAATAAATGCGTAAATGTAATAAGTAAATTATATAAATATGAAAAAGTAATAGTGTTTTTTAAACAAAATGTTAATTATACTATAAAGTTTGCAGGTTGTCGCCATGTCTTTCTTTATTATTGATGTCAACGTTTCGTGAACCAGTCACTGATACAGAGCAGCGAAGCTGTGTGATTATCAATATCTCTTTCTCTCTCTCTCTCTCTCTCTCTCTCTCTCTCTCTCTCTCTCTCTCTCTCATCTCTCTCTCTCTCTCTCTCTCTCCCTCTCTCTCTCTCTCTCCCTCCTCCCTCTCTCTACACGAACATATATCGAAGTAGGAGAGGGTCACTTTGGCCACTTATTATAATTTTAATGTAATAAATAACCAATTAATTCATCTTAAAAATCGATAATTTATTACGAAACCTATAAATCATTTATTTTAGCTCCGTACTTTCTGATCGTTAACATTTCTTTAAATAAGGTGTATAGAGAGGAAGAGGGAGAGAGGAGAGATAAATAGATAGATAGATAGATAGATAGATAGATAGATAGATAGATAGATATATATACGTGTATGTATATACGTGTATGTATACGGGTATTATATACAGGGTGTTTGAAAAGGATCACTGGGCGGTCTGCATTTGACAGTGGGCCGGGAGAATTTAGATGTTTTTATAAATTAATATCTCGCTAACTATTACGAAAATTGTAAAATGGTAGATAACTCTTCTTCTCAGTTTAATCCATTCTGCACCTATGCGATAAAATTTTTCATTACTTCTCAAACACCCTGTATATAATATTAATTGCAATATATTATTATAATACATTTAATATGTATCCCTGACGAGAATAAGAAGTTTCATGAATGTTTTTTGGACGCTTATTTAAGCATTTGTAGGAGTTTGTTGAGAGTAAAAAGGTCAATAGAATGTTTGAAAAGCGGAAATTGCAACGTTGCAGCGTTTGGAAAACAGAGTTTGAAAAAAATGTTTGCCAATTGCTTGAAAAATTGACAATATAAACTCTTTACACGAAGGTGTATCAGCGTTTATTGAGCATTCTCTATAAAGCGTTGCCTCAGCATTACAAGACATTCATGAAACGATATAAACAGTGTTTTATAAGAGTTTTGAAAGAGTTCAAAAGCCGAAATAAAGTTGTATAAGCATCCTTATAATGTTTGAAAGCATATAAACTCTTTAAAAAACCGTCATCAAACGGTTGCTAACGCTTTATAAAGTGTTCGTATTTTCGCCAGGGATACTATTTATAATATTATGATATAATATATTGCATATATATAAAAATATAATATATATAACACATATATATCATAATATTAACATTATTACACAATGTAAATTCCAAACATTTAATTTGTATAAACCATTCTACAAAAATGTTTTACAAATTATATATATAGTAGAAATAAAATCAAGCAGAAACCAAAAATCTACTAGCTTGTCAATTAGTAAAAAAAAAAAACTTTAAATTAAAGTGTGATTTGAGTTAGTCTTTAATAGAATTTTAATTCGCGAAATTATTATAATTAAATTGTTATAATTAAATTATAGAATGGTAAACTTTTGAAAATTTTGGACAAATATTACGATCTCTTGATGTTTTCGCTAATAAAAAAGATTATAGTATTTAGTAGTATATAAAGCAATATCAACGAAGTAATTTTCGATTTCTTTCAGCCAATTTTGCGCAATACCTTTTACGTATGTATGTACTTTTTACAATGACGTGATTACATTATTCAAGATCGGTTGTGTGTTCAAGAACTTTTTAATTACGCGTTAGATAAATAGCAAGTTTACTCAATCACATGAGTGGTCTAACAATTAATTAACGCGTAAAATTTACTGAAAGATGAAACAAAACGGACGTTTTTCCCGACTATGTATAGAAATTTATCCAGTGGTCCTAGCTAGGTTGACCTTATTTCATCATCAGGTCCTGTTAAGGTAAGTTTATCGGGACCTGTAACGCAGCACGTTAGGCAGGACCTTATCCGGTTAGCCTTATCAGGTTTATATCGGGTCCATTATTAAATCCTTATTAACGCGTCACATAACCGTATTTTATTTATTTTTTGAGATTTTAGAGTAAGTAAAATCGTGAAAAAAAATTTTCCTCTAAATTTGAGAATTAATTTTTCTTCATGATGCTACCCACGGTAGTAGTAGTAGTATGTTTTGTTTATTGAAAATAATTTCTTCCCAAACGGTCACCACCCATCCGACCTCGTACCACGACCTCGCATGCTTAACCTTGATAATCGTACGGGAACTGCTGTACTTCGATGATCCACGAATCTGTAGGGTAAACTCGGTATATACGCCGCACCTATCAAAAACTTAATTTATCAATTATTATTTACTGTGTTTAAAGCAAATCAACTATACAAATCAATACTTTGTATCATCTACTACTGTAAAAAAGATATTAGAAATCCAAAATAATTTATTTTCCATATTAAAAAATAACTTTTTCAAACCCCTACATTTTTGCCATTTATCCCATAGGGGGGGGATAATATTGCCACTCATTATAATTCATAAGAAAATCACAAATAATCTATAAATAAGATGTAAAATGACGACGTAACTTGCATTTGTTTATTAATATATGACAATTTTTATTGTTCAGAATGAAAATTGGAATACAAATAGGACTTAATAAAATTTTTTTAAAGAGCTTCAAATCTTTGAAAATAATCTTTAAACGTTTAAGATTTATCAACATTTATACATTAATGCAATGTATAATTGTTAGAATTAACAAAAACTTCTTAAATATAGCGTCTGTGCTGCGGCACAGCATCTCGCTCTCTAAAAATGCCATATATCCCAAATAGATGGGATATATATGACAACTAATTAAACAAACAATACAGGAGCAAAGCACTTGTATTTTGTTATACAACATGCTTTACTATTCCTTTACACATATGTATTGCAAAATAACCACTAAGTCTTTTACACGCTCTACAATAACCATTTTATGTAGATTATAAATTATGATGGCAATACTTATCTACTACAGTAAAAAATCGTTTTAACTCGAAATAATTTCATTAATATTAACAGTAAAAAACTCAAATCATAACATAATACTAATATACCATAAAGGCATGTAACAAAGTAATTGACGGAAAATTATCCCCACTCCTTCTATTTTTTCTGACTTCTGCGGCGTATTTCCTGATGCGGCGTATATACCGGGTTTATCCTATATGTCAACGTCTGTATAATTG